CCGGCCAGTAACGGCTACCGGCACTACAGCTAGGCATGGAGAGTAAGTGGACGAAGTACACAGTCATACCTTCCAGTCTTCCGTCCGTGCCTTTCATGGTTGGCTTTCCCAGTCGTCCATGGTTGGCTCTCCACAATCGACAGTTCCTTCTATGACTGTCCAGAAACGGATACCGGCACTACAGCTAGGCATGGAGAGTAAGTGGACGAAGTGCACAGTCATACCTTCCAGTCTTCCGTCCGTGCCTTTCATGGTTGGCATTCCCAGTCGTCCATGGTTGGCTCTCCATAATCGTCAGCTACCTCTATGACGGGACAGTAACGGCAACAGGCACCGTAGGTAGGCATGGAGGGTAAGTGTAGGAAGTACAGAGTCTTACCTTCCAGTCTTCCGTCTGCGCCTTCGCTGGTTAGTTTCTCCACTCGTCGACGGTTGGCTCTCCTAAAACGACATCTCCCTCTTGACCGGCGGGTAACAGTCACAGGCACTGTAGGTAGGCATGGAGAGTAAGTGGACGAAGTACAGAGTCATATCTTCCCGTCTTCCGTCTGCGCGTTAGCTGGTTAGCTTCTCAAATCGCCGGTGGTTGGCTCTCCTAAAACGACAGCTCCCTCTTTGACCGGCCGGTAACGGCCACAGGCACTGTCGGTAAGCATGGAGAGTAAGTGGACAAAGTACCGAGTCTTACCTTCCAGTCTTCCATCCGCGCCTTCGTTGGTTAGTTTCTCCACTCGCCGATGGTTGCCTATCCTAAAATGACAGCTCCCTCTTTGACCGGCCGGTATCGGCCACAGGCACTGTAGGTAGGCATGGAGAGTAAGTGGACGAAGTACAGAGTCATATCTTCCAGTCTTCCGTCTGCGCCTTCGTTAGTTAGTTTCTCCAATCGCCGGTGGTTGGCTCTCCTCAAACGACAGCTCCCTCTTTGACCGGCCGGTAACGGCCGCCGGTACTGTAGGTAGGCATGGAGAGTAAGTGGACGAAGTACAGAGTCTTACCTTCCAGTCTTCCGTCCGCGCCTTCGTTGGTTAGCTTCTCCAATCGTCGATGGTTGGCTCTCCTCAAACGACAGCTCCTTCTTTGACAGGCCGGTAACGGCCACAGGCACTGTAGGTAGGCATGGAGAGTAAGTGGACGAAGTACAGAGTCATATCTTCCAGTCTTCCGTATGCGCGTTCGCAGTTTAGTTTCTCCAATCGCCGATGGTTGACTCTCCTCAAACGACAGCTCCCTCTTTGACCGGCCGGTAACGGCCACAGGCACTGTAGGTAGGCATAGAGAGTAAATCGACGAAGTACAAAGTCATGCCTTACAGTCTTTCTTCAGCGCGTTCCTTGGTTAGCTTCTCCAATCGTCCGGCCGGTAACAGCCACAGGCACTGTTGGTAGGCATGGAGAGTAAGTGGACGAAGTGCGTAGTCTTACCTTCCAGTCTTCCGTCTGCGCCTTCGTTGGTTAGCTTCTCCAATCGCCGGTGGTCGGCTCTCCTCAATCGACAGCTCCCTCTTTGACCGGCCGGTAACAGCCACAGGCACTGTCGGTAAGCATGGAGAGTAAGTGGACAAAGTACAGAGTCTTACCTTCCAGTCTTCCGTCCGCGCCTTCGTTGGTTAGTTTCTCCACTCGTCGATGGTTGCCTCTCCTCAATCGACAGCTCCCTCTTTGACCGGCCGGTAACGGCCACAGGTACTGTAGGTAGGCATGGAGAGTAAGTGAACGAAGTACGGAGTCTTACCTTCCAGTCTTCCGTCTGCGCCTTCGTTGGTTAGTTTTTCCAATCGTGCATAGTTGGCTTTCCTCAAACGACAGCTCCCTCTTTGACCGGCGGGTAACAGCCACAGGCACTGTAGGTAAGCATGGAGAGTAAGTGGACGAAGTACAGTCATATCTTTCCCGTCTTCCGTCTGCGCGTTAGCTGGTTAGCTTCTCATATCGTCCACGGTTGGCTCTCCTCAAAGGACAGCTCCCTCTTAGACCGGCCGGTAGCGGCCACAGGCACTGTCGGTAAGCATGGAGAGTAACTGGACGAAGTACAGAGTCTTTCCTTCCAGTCTTCCGTCCGCGCCTTCGTTGGTTAGCTTCTCCAATCGTCGACGGTTGGCTCTCCTAAAACGACAGCTCCTTCTTTGACAGGCCGGTAACGGCCACAGGTACTGTAGTTGGGCATGGAGAGTAAGTGGACGAAGTACAGAGTCTTACCTTCCAGTCTTCCGTCTGCGCCTTCGTTGGTTAGTTTCTCCACTCGTCGATGGTTGCCTCTCCTCAATCGACAGCTCCCTCTTTGACCGGCCGGTAACGGCCACAGGTACTGTAGGTAGGCATGGAGAGTAAGTGGACGAAGTACAGAGTC